TAGTTATTTCAAGTCATTCTCACACTAGTTTGAAGAGATCAGTAATGCTTATCCTCAATTCCAGTCACTACTGGTAATTAAGACTCACTGCATTGCCACAATGTGCAATGCATTAACTATTGCATTATCTCTGTCACTTCAAATAACCTGTAAAATAAAGTACATTTTAGCCACTCTACAGAAGGCAGGACAAATTCAGCCTTGTTCATATATTCAGTTGTACAGAACATCTTTCAAATAAAGTTACTCGGCATACTTTATGACAGCAAAAAAGAATTTTACTCCAACATTTTCAATCCAGTCACTCATGTCTAATAATAAAAACAGCTCAACTGTAACATAGCACAGTCGCTTTGTGTTGCAACTGCCAAATGATTTTTAAGCAGCATTTGCTAGCAAAGTGGAAAAAAAAAGTAAGTAATCCTTATTCTATCCTTGTTGAAAGATGAATAAAACTTCACCATAGGAAGCTTTCTACTGTACCTCACCCAAGCCCCCTTTTGTCATCCCTCTGTGCAGATATACACCATATTGTCAGAATTTCTTCCTGAGGAGTGTTATGTGTCCTCTCCTGTATTATCTGTAGCTGTCTAGACATGCTAGTGATGGTACCATAAAAATGCCAAGAATGAATTAATAATAGGTGTTAAAAACTAGGATCCAAAAAAAACCCACAAACCCATGAATTTTCTACCACATGGCTACCTTTGGCCAACCAAAATTGGCAGATTTCCCAGAAGAAGGTTGAGCAGACTATGTTTCCCAGAAAGGGATTACACTAGCTGCTTAATGCTGCTCATCAAGATTAAATACATACATAATATGTATATATAATTTTATGTGAAATTACCTATGTATGAAGCCAGTATTTAAACACAGTGTCTTTTCAGTGTGTAAACAAAGCAACCTTAACTGCTTTGCTAAGTCAGAGAAAGAGTGATTCTCACTTCAGTGAGCTCCTGTATTTGCATTCTGTTTTATTCAAAGCTAGTCTTTAATTTTAAAAAGCTAATAGTTGCATTTTAAAAAGCTACTAAACACCAGACATCTTATTAAATTTATAATATATATGTAGACTAAATTCCACATCCTGAATTTTAGAACTACCTTCTATCTACATGACATTACTGAGCATACAGTAATTCAAAGCCTAAGTGAGCAGATGATAATTTAAAGCCTAACTATCCTTGTTTACAGATATTAGGACAAAAAAGTCAGAGCAAAGCAAAGAACCAAAGAAAGATGGTTTCAATGCCATTTTTCAGTACATCTTATATTGGCACTGAGGAGAGGTACAAATGGTGGATGTACTGCATAAGGTTTTAAGTCTCTGCTGCTACCAGAGAGCAAAGGAAACAGCAAAGGTCTGTGTAATCATGTATCTCTACTCATACACAGCTTCCTTCTTCAGAGCTCCATTTGACAGGAAAATAAATTTAAAACAAAAATGACAAAAAAAACCAACAAAAACAAACAAACAAACAAAAAAGGCCAAACACATACAAAATCCCCCCAAAAATCCCTAAACAAACAAAAAACCAACAAAAAAACTGACCCACAATCTAGAAAAGTCCTAAATGAAACCTCTCTTTAGCAGTAAAAAAAAGTAATGAACCACACTTAATCCAGCTGCAATCTGTGAGTCCAAAATAGAAAATAGAGAACTGTAGCTGTACTACACAAGGAATTAAAGTATGAAACAAGACAAAGAGTTACCTCTCTTTTAAGATTCCAGAAAACCCTTTATGAGAGCTAACAAATTTAGTTATCCCAACATCGCTTTCTGTCAGTCCATGCTTCATCATGTCTGCAAAGCTCTCTGGATCTCCATCTTCATCACTATCCTCTAGTTCCTCTTCTTCCTGCTCCTCACTTTCCTCATTGGGGATTATTTCACTCTTTGCATCCTCGGGTTGTTCTGTTACAGTCTCAATACTCTGCCCAGAGTCGTTCCCCGCCTTAGACTTCTCCAAGATCTTCTGTCTTTTAATTTCATCTGCATTGGCCACATCATCCTCAGAGCGAGGACGTTTCAAGGATACACTATTCATCTCTACAGTTTCCATGTTTAAGGCACAGGGTAGGATAGGAAGCCCTGAGAAAGAAGAAGAAAGCCTTACTTTCTGTCTGCTAAGTGCAATATCAATATATAGGCACTTCACGAACTGTGCCCTCTGCAATTCTTCAGGAAAACCATACACTTTCTGCATTTAAGTTAAACATCAAGTAAACATTTTGAACACCTAAAAACAACATGTACTTGAGGAAAAAAAAAGGAAGATATTATGAGGGCAGCAGGCATGGTGGACTGCAGCACAGCAGGATTCAGGACTACACTGACCATTTACCACCATCATCACTCTTGCCCACCCTTACCATGGCTGCCTGCAGGCCTGTGTACACACAGCCTATGCTGTCAACAGCAGCTTAGTGCCTAAGAAACTGTTTGTTTCCAAACCTTCTCTTACACATGACTACTTTAAATTATTCCCCTTTTTATCAAGATTCCATCTTGCAAAGACTGAGAGAGAATGGCTGAGTTCCTGCAAACCTGAAATCTCATGTCTTTGATTTCTATGTGCTTCAAACACACAAAATGCAACACAGAATTCAAGGTGGCATCAATTCAGTCCAAAAGATACGAGGGGGGTGAGATACCAAAATCATTGATTTGGTGAGACAAACAAGGAAATTAAACAACCTCTGAGAAGAATATGACTACTCACACTGGTGGAATAGGGCTCAGAGCTGCCACCTTTGTGTCAGCAGAACCACTGCCTTCAGGTCTGAAAAAAAGAACACTACCTCTTTGAGAAAATTTTATGAAAAAAATTATGAAAACATACATGAATGTAATCACATATGGACTGAGACAGACATGTTAATACATATAATTGCAAAAGTACTACCATCCTAGTGCCACAACACATTATTGTTATTTAGCAAGCTACAGGAGAGAACTTCAGCTTTATTTCTAAGTGTATAAAAGGAAACTGGAGCTCCTGTGATTAGGCATGGACAGGACCATCCTTTCAGCATCCCCCAACTGGCACAGGAGTGCACTGGGGATGAGGTGCAGGTTTTGGTAGATGGGGATGCATGAGAGGAGGCCATAAGCTGCCCTGTGTGGGCCATGGCCAGTTCAGCTGGCTCCATAAAACCACTGCCTGCCATCCTCCAACTCATCAGATAAGCACACGGTGGCCCCGCTCCAGTTTATCTGAGAAAGGGAGAAGCTGCCAGTGGCAGCAAAGGCAAAAGAAAGAACAGGAGGAGACACATGATGGAGTGTTCAAAAAGGAAGCATGGAGAAGGGAACAACTGCTGCAGACACAGTTGGAGATGCACTCTTGAAAGAAACTCTCCACACAGGAGCAGGGACACCCCGATGGAACTATGGCCTGTGGAGGTGCCCATGCTGGTACAGGCACATCCTTGAGGGGCCCATGAGAGGAAAACATAGGAGCAGAAGAAACGAGCATAAGAAATCTCCATGTACCAACCCCAACCTCCTGTACTACCACTGCCTTGCCCAAGGGCCAGAGCATAACCTGAGGGGCCAAGGAAGAAAGGGGAAGAAAGGAGTTTTCCCCAAGTCTGTGTTTAAGTAGTGGTCATCTTAGCCTATCACCAGCCAGCTAGTAATTAGTTAAATTTCCCATGTCAAGTCAATTTTGTCCACAACAACCAAGTTTCTAAATTAATAGGAATCAGCTGTTACTGAGAAATTAATCTAAGAAGGGAGCAGTATTTTATAGCTACATCCATCACCCTGTATTATTTCTCCAGCCACTAAATAGCATAATTTATCCAATTTTAAAAGGCATGTTTTTAAAGGAAGTCCCACAACTAACTTGATAATCAGCATATTCTGGGTTGGTAACTAATTGTTACCAGTTAGCTGTTAGCCACAGCTGACTTCATGGCCTGGGCATCCCAGTGAAGAGATCACCAGCTTAGGGTAAAGAGGCAGGAACAACTGTTTTAGAAACATCAGAAATGTTTTGCTCAAATGAAGAACTGAAAATGAACGCTACAAAAATAAATTAACAAAAGGGAAATAATGAGAGATGTATAAAATTAAGAGTATGTATGATGTGAAGAGTGATAAGACACACATGCAAGAAAGCAGAACAATTAGCAAAACTATGTACCTTCAAGCTGAAAGCACCAGTTTTAGTCTGTCTTCAAATAAAAGTTCATAAAATACTTTTTTTCAAGAGGAGCAATAAGTAAAAGTCATAGCCAAGTGAAGCAATTCACTGCTGTTTCCAGTTTCTCTTCCCATGTACCAAAATTTATAGAGGCTGGGTTATAAAACACTGAAGTGGAAGGCTTTTGGATGGCTTGTATCTTCACATAGTGAACAAAATAGCATTCAGCACAATGAAATCCTCTGAGATGCCTGCCAAAGGTAGTAAAAAGAGAAATCTTGTGCTTCTTAAATAAAACAGTAATACATAGTTATTGAATTATACAGATTGTTAGAAGAATTCAATGTTGGGCACAAACACTCCAAAGTTGTCACAGACTATTCTCACAGCAGAACAGTGACTCACGTACTATCCTGTGCCCCACGGCAGCCATCATCGGGGATAAATTCTGCAGGCTAATTGCTTGAAGGAGCACGTTGAAGCGAGCGGGGCACACTCTGCCTCACTTGTGCATACTGCTAGCGAGAGGCTCCTATTATTTTTTGACAGCTGCTCAATTGCCTCGGCCCTTTTCCTAACAGGTGTTTCCATAAAAGCCAGAATCTGCATAAACATCAACTCCGCAGCAATTCCAATGTTGTAACGGAAACTGAGTTTACCACTACAAATAGAACACTTGGCTCTCCGCAAGAAGAAACGCCGAGCGATTACTGCTGGCGCGGTACCTGCCAAGCAGGCACGGCGGGGGCCGCAGAGGAGCGGAGCCGGAGCGCGGCAGCGCTGGGTGCGAAGCCGCCTTCTCGTGAGACGAGGCACGTGGATTAAAAGACAACCGAGGAGAGGGCGATGGTGCAGCAGCCCGTGCGGCGGGGGCAGCGCCGAGCGCGCAGGCGGGGAGGGCAGCGGCGCTCGGAGCCCGCGGGCCGGGCCGGGCCCCACGGCGCTCCGGGGGCCGGGCCGCGCCGGGAGAGCCGCAGCCAGCGCCGAGGCTGCCGGAGCGGGGCGGGAGGACGCGCGGGGCAGGCGGGGCACGGGGGCGAGGCAGGAGGAAGGGCTCTGCCGCGGGGGTCCCGGCAACACGCGGCGCAACGCGGGAGCGGCACGGGAAAGCCCGGCGCCGGCGGGGGCGAAGTTGCCCCGAGGCGGGGAGCGGGGAGCCGGAGCCCCGCACGGCCGCCAGGGGAGGGTGCGGCTCCGGCCGCGCCAGGCAGGGGCCGCCGAGGGGGAGCCACTTACCGCACGCCGGCACGGGAGGACGGCCCGGCGTCGGCGCGGCGGGCGGGGGCGGCGCGGAACGGGCACGTCCCAGCCCCGCGTGCGGAGGCGGCCCCGCGCTGCGCCCGCCCCCGGCCGGCCCCGCCGCGCCGACGCCGGGCGGGGCGCGGAGCGCAGCGGGGCGGGAGGTGGTACCTGGGCGCGGCCGCTCCTGCCGCTGCCCGGCGGCTCAGGCTCCCTGGGAAGCGGCTCGGGTAGGCAGGCCGTGTTTTACAGAAGAACTGCGGCTGTGTAGGACAAAAGTTCAATTTCCGAAAGGCGGCTATAGCCAAAGCAGGGCATCGTGTACACGAGGTGGTGGCCTTCCTGAGCCTCCCCGGCATCTGAAACACGGGGCGCTAATTGAACATCAGTCCCGGGACGAGGGAATGTTCGAGTACCATTCAAAACCTACGCTGTACCTATGAAAATCACTTTAAAAACCAGGCCAGATCTGTGCTATCAGTCCTTTCTGACATAGTCAGAATGTCATCTTCTACCCTCTTTTCTATTTTAAGCACTGGTGCAAGGAAGGTATTTTCATTACCTTCAACATGTAGATTTGTCCTTATTTTTAAGGCCTTACGTGTCATGTCCCAATCCCAGCCTCTCTCAAACTTCCTCTGAGCCAGGCTATTAATAATTTAGTGTCTCATACTTCTTATTCTCTAGCTGTATTGTATTCACAGTCTTATGTGATGAGACTTACACCTGGTATATGTATATAGGTAACTTATTTTTTCATCTCTTGTATTTACCTTTCCCCTTGGAGTAGAATAAGAAAGTAACACAATGGAGTACTTTGCTCAGGATTTAAAAAATCCCAGGTATGCATGAATTCCTTAATGACTAGCTTATAATCGTTATAAAACCTCATCTAGGAAGAAAGAAAGGAGCAAAGATGCAGCTGGTCCTTAGGTCTGAACAGAGATGGATCCATAGAGATCTATTTTATAAAACCCTAGGGGTCAAATCTTTGTCTTTTCTACAGAGCTTTAGTTTACCCCCCTGTCCAGCCTTCACACTTGGAATTTAATAACCCTACCAGATACCAGTAGGGATATCAGGAATGGGTTCAGTGCATCTCTGAGGAGAGGTGAACAGTGGACTGGAAATAGCAATGGAGGTTAGTGATTGACAAGGCAGATAATGGCACTTCTGACAGCTGTAGTACAAAGGAGGAAGCCAGTGCTAGGACATCACCAACTCCAGGCTATTCGAGTGCTAGGGGCAACACAGAGAGTGTGTCCTTTGAACACTGCTGTCATTTGGCCATTGACTATGGCTGTGGTATGTTGAAAAGTTGTTTCTTCACCTTTCCCGGGCAAAACCATCTTGCTGAAAATATCTGGCTGGGGGAAACTTTCAGCAAGACTTCTACCATGCATTAGTCCAACTTTTTCTGTCAGTAACTTCTTGCTTCTTCTAACTTGTGCAGGAGAGCTTCCCTAAAATACTTATTTTTCTTCCTCCAAATTCCTACATTAAGTACTTCCTTGTCTTCAAAATCCTTGTCAGTAATTAAGTAGCTTGTATCCTACAACTGTGCTTGGTATGGCAATTACCCTTCTCTTAGTTTTCCCTGTTGACTATGTGTTCATCTATCATCTACTACCATCAGCTCAGATAGAATTTGGAGTGGTATGAGGCACCTCATACACTGAAGAGCCAGCAACTTGAAGGACCTGCAGGTGCTCCCAAAAGGTACATAGCTTAATAAGATCATTCCTGTGTGTTTCTCAAGTCTTCTAATATAGTCAGAAAAGTTTATTACTCCTTTCTCCATACCAACAAGCATTCTCTGACATATTAAAGAATGGTTTGCCTGTGTCTGAGAATCTACAAACAAAATACACGAGGTCACCCTTCCTATGATTCAGGGCCTGGAAAGAGGGAAATGCTAGTTCTGCCTCAGACATAAAACTGATCCACCCTGGCAAGTAGAGACCATCAGTAGAAACCACTGAAGATTGCTTGCTCTATTGCCTTCTGTTATGATCTACCCTTAATATGGTTTCCAAGTGTAAGCTGGCAAAGGGCTCATGACCTCAGTCATGACCCCTTTCTCTTTCTATTAGTCAAGTGCTCCTTTTACATACAGAGTTATAGTGTAAAATATAAAAAGAAAATAATAATAATATGGCTTGAGCTTGATATTTTTTCCTTTGTTTGGTTTAACAATTAAAATCCCTTCTATTGTAAATGATCTAATATATCCATTGGGTGGTATCATTAAAATATTATTTTAATCTCTATTACAATATATTAGTACATTCCCACAGAAATTTTGTTTAATGTAACCTAAAGGAAATTTGTTTTGTGGGAAAAAAAATAAGCAAACTCTAATAAGTTAGTAATGTCTTCCTACTCTCAGGCTTCCCAGGAGGAGAAATCAGGATAACACATCTCAGCAGATGGGAGCATAAATCTGGCTAGGAAGAGAACGCAAGTGAGAAGCATGTTGAGTCAATCTCCTCCAGAGATGCTCGTTGGAAATCTTAAGGTACAAAGTTGAGCTGTTCCCAGTCTATAGAAAAAGCTAATAAAATAGAACAGCAATAACTGCTCTCACTCTTCTTCAGTTTTATGCCTCCCAAAGGCACAGACAATCAGGCAGATAAGTTGTAATTTTACACCCCTTTGCACCAGCTGCACTTAACTAGCCTGATTTTTACCTGCCACTAATAGCACCACAGAGAACTAAAACCAAAGAGCTATTAAAAGCCTAATGTATTTTTCATATGTAGATTGTTTGAATTTTTCATGCTTATTTTGAGGCCTTGCATGAAGCAAAAAGTGGGGGTGATAAGAAATTTAAAAATATAAATGTATGAAAAAGGGATTTTTTTTAAATACAGAATTTTATTCACAATGCAATTTCAGTGAAAAGGTTCTTTGAGGAATTTGAAAACAGTCCAAAATGAATCATACAGATTTCCAAAATCATGACCAAAAAAGGTTTTCTGAGAACACAAATTATAGCACTTTAATAGGCCATCACCAATTTTTTAAAAATAAAAATCTACTTATTTTTGAAATTCATCTCTAAATCTTTTTGTCAATTAGTTGACAACAGAAGAAAGGAGAAGCATCTTATCTAGACAAACAAGGAGGATTTTAGGCAGAGAGGGTTTTTTTTCTACCAGGTCTATTAGATCTAAAAAAATTATTATGCTCTACAGGGTGATTTTAAAATAAGAATGCATATGACTATAGAAAATCAACCTTAAGCATAGGATTGGGAGGTAACTGTGAAATATGTTTTCTTTTTTTACTTTAGTTTCACCATTAGACAATTGACTCAGGGGTGCTGTAAAGCTTTGCAGCAGTGCAGACAAAACAGGATGCGATCACCCACAGATCAACTATCTGAGTGGCAATGTTCTGCTTCTGCAAAGATGGTAAAGAGCAAACACAATATGAAATAGGGATCTGTACTGGAGCAATAATTATGCATTTCTGCCCATATTCACAATTATCTCAGAAGGCTTTACAGGGGTGAAAAGACCTTCCTGTGTATTTGCAGAGGAGGAGGGAACAGCCGGGACAGGACAGAGGCTCAAGTGTGAGCTGCCCACAGGGCATGAGGGCCATGGAAGAGAGGAAGAGCGAGGGTGGGGAGTGATGCTGCAAAGCTGCTGCCTCACACGCAGCAGGAAAAGCCAAGGCTACAAAGGTGGAGGGAGAAAATGAGCTCTCCTGTCACCTCATGCTGCTTGAATGCTGCCCTGCAGGGTAGCAGAGTGTGCTCTTTACATGCCTGCCTGCCCTGCCTGTGCCTGCTGTCACACTGGGTTTTCCATGAATTACTTTAGCTGCCTTTGATCACTGTTAGTGCTGTGAAGTTTTGTACCCTATTAAGCTCCTGGTAAAATGCCTGTTTTTCTCAGTGCAACTGGATCTGGCCACTAAAAATTGTTTAGAAGTCACAACATTCATATCAAAGATTCACAGATGTGAAACTGAAATGGATTATGGGAATACCTGGTGTATTTTTTACTCTGAGTTATTAATAACTTTAAAATCTCATTTCTCATCATCCATACAGAAAATCCTGGTACCTGAGTTTGGTTAACTTCCAGATTATAGCCACAATGTAGTACTCCTCTTTATGTGCCTAATTCTGCATGTAGACAATAAAATCCGGAATACAAGTAATCCTTCACCTTTCTACCACCCATCACTTTCCTGCTGTCTGAAGATACTGGGATAGATGAAGGAGACCTCTGGCATTCATCATTTACATATGGAGCTGTTCAAACTGATTAGCACTGGCAAAAGTAATCCCTGGGTTGTCCTGGCTGCTTGACAAAAAGAGCACAACTGACTTCAGGCTACTCTGTAGAAGCAGTACAGTAAAAAAAAAATATTTCCAATAGGAAATAGGTAATATATAAGTGTGTAATTTCACATATATATAGGTAATATATAAGTGTGTTTTATCTGAGCATTCACTGGGCCAGTGCATCCATACTAGGAGAACACAAATAAGGTGTCCTGTATAGGCAAGGATGAGGAGCAGAATCCTGAATCCTCTCAGGTACCCCCTAGGTGGTCAGATGGGAACACAGAATATATTCTGAGAGCAACCACCTTCACTGTATTTTTCAGTGTACAAAATTACCCTGTAGCTATGAAATAAGTGCAGTGTAAGGGATAACACTAAGTTTGGCTGTGGGGCACAGCAAAAGCTGGATAGTGGGCTGGTACGGTGGTTTGCCTGATTCTGATCCTTCTGTTAGACACTTGCCAATGTTGCTGATGAATGGTAAGGAGGAAAGAAATCTGAAAAAGCCCTAAACCAAGTGATAAAATAGAGTATATTAATATTTCTGCTGCCAGTTTGTCAGATAATCCATGGAGTTGCTACACAAGGTTTAAGTAGGTTTTAAATTCTAAATATAATTTTTAGTATCCAGATAACTTCTGAATCTAATAAAGCTTTTAACCAAAATGAGACATTATATGCAGACTGTTTTGTTACATTTACTTCTCCAGAAAAGCACCCAAAACCTGTGCTATTTGTGCTGCTCTGTTTCTGTGGAAACTGTGTGTTGAAGTGGAATAGAAAAAACAGGGAAAAGAGAGTGAGAGGTGAAGTGTTTTTGGCTGGAGTCCCGTTGGCCAGTTACAGTTTGAGCTGGGGTAAGTCAGACAACCATGCCCTCTATACTGAAGTCCAGAGTTTTCTTTCTTCTTCTTCTCAGCTTGTGGTGAGG